GCGGATCGGTATCGCGGAACGCGGATTTTAGAGTAGAGTCACCGTCAGTCCGTGGGTCTCCACATGCAGCAACTTCCACGTAGTGAGACCTGGGTCGGTATTACTTGCATACTCTAATTATAAATTCTTTAACGCAAGTACTACTGAGCGAATGGCTGCATATTGTATTATTTTTCCAATATCTTTCTAATCTAATTCCAACTAAACATTAACATATTTCCATCTTATATAGCTAATAATGCTTCGAAAGAAGAAATATAACAGAATTTATTGTACAATAATTTCATATAGAACGACAAGGAAATTTATCTACAACAATTTTATATTCGCTGTCATTTCTATTTATTCTTATTTACTCTCACTAATTACTCTTTATATATCTCGGGTGGGACCCATGGGAGGGGCTCATGGGTGAGGGCCTCTGTGCGGGTTGCTGTCTCAGCATCATGTAGAGCTGCTTATATACTCTCATCTGTCTGCGGCTCTCTTTTTTATGCCATATTTTTCTTGGTTTTAATTTTGTATGTCATTAATACACTCTTATTAATTATGATTTATAGTCTCGGGTGGGACCCATGGGATGGGACATGGGGGTGTGCCTCTGTGCGGGTTTCTGTCTCAGCGTCGTATAAAACTGCATCTCTTTTTTTCTCTTTTCTATTTCTTATTTTTCTTTTTTAATTATGTTTTTAATTATATGTTAAATTATGTGTTTAATTATGTGTTTAATTATGTGTTTAATTATGTGTTTATTTGTGTTTATTTGTCTTTATTTATGTGTTCAATTATGTGCTTTATTATGTGTTTAATCATGTTCCTAATTATATTATTAATATATTCTTATTAATTATGATTTATAAATTTTAGGTAGGATCCATGCGAAGGTGCGGCTCGCTGTCTCGTCATCGTATAGAACTGCATCTCTTTATTTCTCCTTTCTATCTCATATTTTTTTTTTAATTATGTTTTCAGTTATGTTATTAATAAGTTATTTCTTTTCAGTTATGTTTTCTTAATATTTATTTATTTTGTTTATTTTTAATTATGTTTTCTTTATATTTATTTATGTTGTTTCTTTCTAATTATGATTTTAATTATGTTCTCAGGTATGTTATTAATATATTCCTATTAATTATGATTTATAAGTTTTAGGTAGGATCCATGAGATGGTGTGAACAGCGGTTACAGCATCGTGCAGAGCTCCTTCATTCTCCAGCACTCATATCTATTTATACGTATTTATTTCCTATATATGTTATATATTTTTTCTCTTTCTCTAATTCATCTTCTTTTTTTCTTTTTCAGGGATAATCGGACAATCATGCAGCGATATTCAATATGTCTTTTCTATTCTTTTTCTTATTTTCCCCTTAACTTCTTTTTTTTCAGGATAGATCATCAAGGCATAGGTTCACCTCTGGTCGAATGCGTCATCGCCTGGCAGGATTCATCATCGATTTTTACACGCGGTTACGGGCAGGATAGGAAGAACACTGGCGCATGTGTCGGCGTGCACAAGCGTGGGTGTTCTCGGGCGCGATTAAACTTCGTTTGATTGTTCGTATCGAAAACGCGAATTTAGAGTAGAGTCACCGTTTTTCTAACACTCACGTGTATGAACGCGTGCGCGATTAAAAGTCCTACCGGGGACTTCGTTTCATTTGCTCGAATATTCGATTAGATTACCTCGCGAACGCGTTTTTACAGAGTAGAGTCATCGTTTTCCGAACACTTGCGTGGGTGTCCGGGCGCGATTAAAAGTCTTATTATGGACTTCGTTTAGTGTTGAAATTCGGGGTGCGCGAACGGTTTACCTTGTAGTGCTGTACATAGCTGGCTGATATTATGACAATCCTAATGTTTGGTAGCGGGGCGGAAATCCCGACAAATATCATGGAAAGTCTAAATACCGGTTAGCATATGTCACTTTGGATTTCAACTTAGAGTCACCGTTATTCTAACACTCACGTGAGTGTTCGTGTGCGCGATTAAAAGTCCTACCGGGGACTTCGTTTTGTTTGCTCGAATATTCGATTAGTTTATTTAGAGTAGAGTCACCGTTTTCCGAACACTTGCGTGGGTGTCCGCGCGCGATTAAAAGTCCTATCATGGACTTCGTTTTAGTGTTGAAATTTGGAGTGCGCTTCGGATTTCAACTTAGAGTCACCGTTATTCTAACACTCACGTAAGAGTTCGCATGCGCGATTGGAAGTCCTACCGAGGACTTCGTTTGATTTCTTCGACATATCGATTAGATTACTTCGCGAATTTGGATAGAATAGTAGAATCTACGTAATTATAACACACGTGAGTGTCGCGAACGCGATTAATACGCTTTGATTGTTCGAAATTCGGATGCACGAATTTAGATGTGCTTAATAATTCGTTATGCCTGAGGCGGAGGGTGTCGAACGGTTAAGCTTTCTGTAAGTGGAGTCCCTGTAGCTAAGGCTAGATACTTCCTGTTAGCTTTGTACCATGCCCAAGATATCCGAAGCGGAAGGCATAAGGGATCGGTATCGCGGAACGCGGATTTTAGAGTAAAGTAGAGTCACCGTTAGCTCGTGGGTCTCCACTTGCAGCAACCTCCACGTGGTGAGACCTGGATCGTTAATACTTGCAAAGTTTAATTGTAAATTTTTAAATGCAAGTATTACCGAACGAATGGCTGCATATTGTATTACTTTTCCAATATCTTTTCAAACTAATTCCAACTAAACATTAACATATTTTCATTTTATATAGCTAATAATACTTCGAAAGAAGAAATATAGCAGAAATCTATTGTACCATAATTTCTCAAAGAAACGAAAAGGAAATTTTTCTATCTCTCTTTTATGTTCACTGTCATTTCTATTTATTCTTATTTACTCTCATTAATTTTTCTTCATATATCTCGGGTGGGACCTATGGGAGGGGCCCATGGGTGAGGGCCTCTGTGCGGGTTGCTGTCTCAGCATCATAGAGAACTTTTTCTCTTGTCTTATCTTTTTGGGCTCTCTATTTTTCTCTTTCTGGGGCTTTCTTTTCTTTCTCCGGCTTTCGTTTCTATCCCAAATTTTTCTTTTTGAATTATTTTTTCAATTATGTTATTATTATGTTATTTCCTTTTTATTATGTATTCTTAATATTTATTTATGTTGTTTCCTTCTAATTATGTATTTAATTATGTGTTTAATTATGTGTTTATGTTTTTAATTATGTTTTTAATTATGTTTTTAATTATGTTTATTTTCTATTTATATTATATATATATTATGTTTTATTTTATGTATTTTCTTTCCTTCTCTTATTTTCTGCTTACCTTCTTCTTTTCCAGGATAGATCATCGAGGGATAGGTTCATCAGCGACCGGATGGTACATCGAATGGCAAGATTCATCATCGATTTCTAAACGCGAATACGGGAAGGATAGGAAGAACACTGGCGCGCGTGTCGGCGGGCACAGGCGTTGGTGTTCTCGGGCGCGATTAAACTTCGTTTGATTGTTCGAATCGAAAACGCGAATTGTAGAGTAGAGTCATCGTTTTTCTAACACTCGCGTGGGTGTTCGGGCGCGATTAAAGGTCCTACCGTGGACTTCGTTTGATTTTTTCAAAATTTCGATGGGGGTACTTCGCGAATTTCGGCTTAACAGTAGAATCTACGTAATTATAACACACACATGAGTGTCGCGACGCGATTAGTATTTCTAAGGAGTGCGCTTTGGTTGTTCGTCATTCGGAAAGCACGAATTCAGATGTGCTTAATAATCCGTTATGTCTGAAGCGGACGATGCAAATGGTGGAGCTATCTGTAAGAGGTGTGTAGTAGCAAAGCTACGCATACCCTGTTAGTTAAGAAGCCAGTGCATTGAAGCGGAAAGGTATAGCGGATCGGTATCGCGGAACGCGAATTTTAGAGTAGAGTCACCGTTAGTCCGTGGGTCTCCACATGCAGCAACTTCCACGTAGTGAGACCTGGGTCGATATTACTTGCAAAGTCTAATCTTTTAACGCAAGTATTATCGAGCGAATGGCTGCATATTTCAATGTATTTTCAAAATCACTTCGAGCTAATTTTGATTAAACACTAAAGTATTAGCACTTTACATTGCCAATAATACTTTTATAGGCATACAGATAAGATATAATTAAATTCAAAGATAATTTCTATATATTTGCAAATTTATATATTAATTATCTAATGTGTTAATTATATTTATTATTCTTTATGGTTTTATCTTGAAGCATATGCGTACCGATCAAAACATTACGTGACGCACGCTACCATCAAAGAAAAAATACATATTAGAGATAAGAGTGAGTTCACATTCTACTAAGCTACTTGCTCTAATCCACAGGAAACCAATTATTATATACACGTGAGAGAAGAATAACCAATACAATCTTATACAAGCCGGTAACGTTGCAATAGACGCATGATAGGAACATGATAGAAACATGCATCTATTGCGTCGTTACGCGCTTGTATTCATAATTCATATTTTATTCATACCTATCACTGAAATCACATATGCTTCGAACAAAATGTAGTAAACAGCTTAGTTGGTCGTTATAATTATGATTGAACTATAATGAAACCAATAGTCTATGGCTGTTCGTTATTTCTAGTTTTATTATGTTTTACGTCAACAATGAATGTAGACGTAATTCTTGGCAGATTTTGATGAACAAAATTTCATTTTAAAGATGAAAATTTAAACGAGGAATTAACTTTACCGAATGTTTTAAAAATCATTATTTTCTTTTAAAAGAATCGTAACAAAAAATAGTGTTTCCTTACAAATAGTTTGTATAAAAATACGATACGGCTTTCTTTCCTCATTACCATCCAATTTTTTTCCTTCCTTCATACATATGACAACGAAAATGATCGATTAACGATACATACCAAATTCACCATTTTAGTTCCAGATTAACATGTATGTCGTACGTATGCATATAAATAAAATATAGTTACGTAAATTTTCACTTGAAATGTACATATATTTATCCACCTTCAAATATTTTGCTTCATATTACATAACTAAAATATAATATATGCTATATATGTTATATTCATTCAGGGAATACGATATTAAAAGATACAAGTAAAATTAAATAATATATTTGTAAATGTATCTATCGATGATAATATACAGGACATCATAGACAACATTTATGCAGTATATTTAAATAAAAAAAAAATCTTTTTCGCATTCGAAATCTCCTCCAAATTTTCCCGGATATATGGCAACCCTACTTTATAAATAGCAAAATGATACTAATGGATTTAAAACTAAATCTTATAATACGTAAATATACATATATTACTTGTATTAATTTTATTTTTATTAGTTTTCTTTCATTAGATTTTCTTTCAATTCTTGACTATCCTCAAATAGTTCATCATTAATTACCATTGCAATTTTCATATGTTCTAACATTGTGACATGATTGCCATCAACAACATGTACTTTCACTTTGCTTTCAGTTATCTGAAAATAATAAGATTTCATAGTAAAATTAGTTATTATCTTTATAATACATATAAATTTGTACAACTTACATGTTGTAATCCATAATCGTATTGTGCGTATTGTACAGACGACAACATTGGTTTAAATAATGTTATTGGTGCTCTTATATATGGCATTGGTTCCGGATTATATTTTATGACTGCTTTCAATCTCGTATAAAATGAGAAAATAGCGCTTCTTTGATCCAATTCCAAATACATTTGCTTGTGCTCAGGAGATATGGCATTAAAGAATGCATTTATTTTCTCATCCCACGTCTTACATTTTCCTAATTCAAGTACAAGCTGGAAAATAATATTTATAAGTTAATATAAAATCTTGCAATCAAACATTGCGATTCAAATATACCTGTTCACTGTTAGTAGGTGTAAATGCGTCCATGATGCCAAGCAGAATGTTGCTTTCCAATTCTTCCTCGGATGACGAATACATATGTTGATTTATAAGTGTTTTCATTTGCTGAGGGGCACCATCTATCAAAATTAGCTGGCCATTAAATCCTATAACTTCTAATTTTCGTGTGAGTTCAATAGTTATAAGCGATCCGAATGAATATCCCACTAACGTGAAATCAGTTCGATCTTTAAGTTTTTCTAATAAATGCTACAATATGTAAAGTTATATACATTATGCTAATGTATAAAATGAAATAATATTTAATTCAATTAAATATTTCTTTAGCAAGAGGGTATACCGGTAAAAGTAAATCGGCCATTTCCTCTACAGTTTTCAATTCATAATTTGTAGCCAGTTGGAAACAACTTGCAGGCGATTTAATTTTCGATTCTAATGTTTTGAAAATACTACTATAGCCTTCGATTCCTGGGACGAAAAATATCTCTTTTCGACCTTCCTCTGGATTAGTTTTAAGCTGGATAATTATTTCGGAGGAAAGTTTTTCACCGAACAATTGCATCAATATCTTTGTACCAGCTAATATTTCTTTTGTAGCAGTTTCATTACGATTTTTATTTTCTGTTTCTTTATTATTCATTTCCATGAGTTTAGCGAAATTTAAGCTTCGAATATCTTGCGCGGTAAGATATATTTCGTATTCACGTTCTAATGTCTGTTTTATTTCTACAGCCATCATTGAATCCATTCCAAGTTCAGCCAAGGAAGTGTGATGACTGACAGTCTTCAAATCTTTAATGCCTGCAATCAAAAATTCGTACTTTTAAAGAAATAAAGATTGTTTGAAAGTATATTAAACAAAAAAAATATTACAAGTACAAACACATAGGTAGATATAAAATAATATGTGACTTGGTTGAAACCCATCACAAATTATCATAAAATTACGATGATAATAACAATAATAAAATAATAATACTATGGATTTATATGAAACATACCCATAATATTTAAGACAGTCCCTACAACATTATCTACACCATTGATACTTGTTTGCTTTTCAGCGACTACCATACTAGCAACTATAGGTTTATCCTGTAGCAAAAATCTATTGAGTTCTTGTAAACATGATGTTATTTTTTGCTGTAGAGTACCACCGATAATAAGTTCCTTATCGTTATTCTGCATGTCCGCAACAAGACCGACGTCTCCAATTGCTCCCCATTGGATAGCTAATCCAGGTAAACCTTCTTCTACTCTTTTTTCGCATATTCTTTCCATAACGGAATTAGCCATACCGTAATTCGTTTGACCAGCATTTCCTCTTCCGCACGAAACAGAAGAGAAGACTACGAAGTGTCGAAGATCTGGACAAAGTTTTCTAGTTACCTCATCCAAACATTTCGTGGTCCAAGCTTTTCCTTTGAAAGATTCTTCAAAAGTTTTTGGCGTTTGATTTCTACAAATACCGTCTTTCAAAGAAACCGCAAGATTGAATATACCATCGACGGGACCTTTATCTATCGCTGTTTTCACTACAAGCTCGCAATCTTTTCGTTTAGCCGTATTGAGACCGACAAGGATTTTAATATTTACTCCATATGATTCCCATATTTTAATTCTCATGCGTTGATAGCCATTCTTTATGCCGTTTCGCGAAGTAATAACAATATTTTGAGCATTTCGAAGAACCAACCAATCGATTAATTCTAAACCAAAACCTCCCAAGCCACCAAGAACTATATAACTTTTATTCGGAAAACATATGTAAGTGGGCTCAGCCAAGATTGGTGTATTTAATGATTCATTCTCTTCGCGAATCTTTATGAGTACCTATGACATTTAAAATGGATTTCAAGTTATAATTTAAAATAGTTCAAGCATAAAGCATATTCAAACGACTAACGTCTACTTACTTTTCCAATATGTTTTCCAGCGGCCATAAATCTAAATGCTGTCTCTATTTGATCTTTGCCAAAGACAGTTCTAACAATTGGTTTGACACCATTCTCTTTAATAAGTCTGTTTAATATCGAATTGACTTCAATTGAAACTTCGGTGTGTATATTTATAATTTTATCTAACATAATGGCATGAAAACTGATTCCCTTCTTAAAGAATTCTATATTTAATGTATTATTTGCAATTATGTCGAACTTTCCAATTTCTAAAAATCGTCCCTCGTAGGTCAAACAACGCAGAGATGCTAAAAGTTTTTCTTCCGACAAAGAATTTAAAACTATATCTACACCTATACCATTGGTTTCTTTCAAAATCATTTGTTCGAAGCTAGTATCACGAGAATTTCCGATATGATTATCATCGATACTGGGAAATGTCTCTTTAATAAATTTACGTTTTTCTGGTGTACCGACAGTAGTAAATACTTCACAACCTTCGTGAAGGGCCAAGTTAATCGCTGCTTGGCCAATACCACCAGTACCAGCATGAATAAGTACTTTGTCGCCCTTCTTCATTTTCCCATTTATATAAAGGGCAATGATACTTGTACAATATACACATGGTACCGTTGCTGCATCCTCTAAACTCCAACTTTCAGGTACGTTCCACGTAAAAAATTTGTTTATGTGAATAAAATTTGATAGACATCTAGAAAAAAAAAATGTTATTTATTTAATTTCCCTTTATTTTCTATTATATTATATAAGGGATTAAATATAAATCTTGTAATTTTTATTTAGAGCTCACTTGTTTACAGAAATTCCCATAATACGTTGGCCATCGATATTAATTCCGCTATATTCAAATCCAAGTGCATAATCTAATTCTTTTCTGTCATTTATTATTGCTTCTAGTACTATTTTATTTGTTGCCAGCATAATATCTTTAAAATTTAACGATGCATAATGAATATGAATAAGATTTGTATTTTCATTGTTCTTCATAACTGGCCCTTCAACCCAATGTAACGAACTTAAATCTCCACGTAACTGTTAAGAAATATTATTGTATTACTTCATGATATGTATTTATAAAATGTTTTTTCACATACCGATTGTGTAATTAAGGCATGATGGCAAGGCTTGAGATTGGAAGGTGGAAGTAATTGATGCCTATATGATCCCCAAATGTTCCCTGGTCGTAAAACATTAATAGTAAGATCCATTTCGAGTTGTTCGGAATAAAGGGGTAATTCTAAAGAAAATTTCGGGGCTTTGAGATCTTGAATTAAAACAGCACGGAAGATATCACCGCCAGGTTCTTTTTGTAAACAATTAATGAATCCTAAGAGACCAGACTCAATGTTTCCTTCCTCAACAAGTATTACTCTTGTCTTACTGATATTCAATTCTGTTTCATTGGCAAGTATTGTTTGGACTTGTTGCAACCAATTAAATTTATTGCTGTTGACATTAATAAACGAAGTATTTTTTGAAATTTTCTTTATCTTCCTTAATAATACCCAGGATTCCTCGGAGGTACGTTTCTCCAAAACTATATTTAATTTCAATCTTTCTAAAATTGATAAATCCAATGGCGTATTAGTTTTTTCACGCGATAAAATGAAAGCTCCATCTATTGTAGACTTTAAAAGTAGTTTTAAATTATCCTTATTTTCTTTACTTAACAAACCACATCCAACTGCTAATAACGCGGTATCATCTACATGTATCCTTTTCGATTCTGAAACTGTAATATCTTTAGGAATATTTTCCTCGTCGAATTTGTTTGTTGGTGCAAATACGTTAACGTTTGCTTGAATCAAAGGCAACTTGCTTAAAATATTTAATAAAATCGGAGAAACGAGCTTCTCTGCTGATATATCGTCATTATACTCAATGAGTTCTACTGTTTTCACCTTAATGATTGGTATATTCTCAAGAGTAATGTGCATAGATAACGTTAATATTTCACGTAATGACACTTCCTTTTTATCGCGATGAGCAATGAATTTGTGTTCTTCGATAATTGGATCACAGATAGGTCTTCTTCGAGTAATCGCACTAGCTTTAATACCATACATTACTACACCCCCGGCTACAACTATATCAAGATCCTCATATAATCGTACAGGTATATCTAAAATAAGAAAATAAGTGGCATTATATATGAATAATGATGAGATATAATGGGAGTCGATATATATTATCGATAATAATTGCATTGACAATAAATATTTACATTGTTCATTAGTGGGCAAACTTTGAAGATATTGTTGATGAGCTTTAATATCTATTACCACTTTTCTAATTCCAGTAGGTACAAATAAACCTCTAGTATCTAAATTGATAATTTTCATCTGTAATATGTTATCCAGGAACGCTACCCAATTCTTTTTCCATTCGATATGTCCTTTATTTCCCGAAACTGAGGAACTCCGCAAACTTCGGAAGTAACCACTATATTGATAACCACGTAGCTTCAACTCCTTATAGATATCTTTCGCGTCTAATACTTCTTCCTCGTTGTTAAAATTTTTGTTGATCATATCAAGCAATATTTTCTCTTTCGATAAGTTTGTTGCAACGTGAATTGCCCCGGTAACAATAGCTGCACCCCCTTCGATCACTTCGAAATTACCGGTTCCTATTCATTTGTAAATCAATTTTTATATATGAAATATACAAAAAAAAATATTTTCATATATAAAAAATAGTTTACACATAATAGAAAGTAATTACCTTTTTGAATCATGACAGTCATTTCAACTTTGCCTTCTTTGGGAATGGTGGTAGCTCGATTAAACTTTACATTTTTAATGACAACGGATACATCCATGTACAATTTTCCTATCATCATACCTAAAGTTTCCCAAACCAGATATAAATATCCTGTTGCGGGAAACAAATTTCTGTCATCGATTACGTGTCCGCTTATGTACTCGAAATCTTCATCGATGATTGATATTTCAACCATTCGTTCTCCGGAAATAATTCTCTCTTGCGTTTTGTAATATGCTACGAACCAATCATCCGAATGTTCCCATCTAAACACGTTATAATATTGAACTTCTACATTACATTTACAGACAAAAAGAACTTTCAAATTATTGGCTAAAAATTCGAATCCTACCTAATGAGCGGAGATATCATTGGAGTACCTCGACTAACCGGATATTCTACGGGTGGATATAATTTAGCAAGATCAAGTTGTAAACCAGCATTATAGAGCTTTCCTAATCCTTGCAAAAAAACTTCCACGTTCTCTTTATGATCTCGTTGAATTAATGTAATATTCGTTACTGTTGGTTGCAATGATTTTCTTAAAATCGCTTGTAATAAACCATGCGGTGCAATTTCAATGATAATAGCATTGTCATGGACAAGGGTTAAGATTTCCTCAAAAAGTACAGGTTTCAGCAAATTATTTGTATGATACTCGGCCGACGAGAATTGTGCGGCTGATGTCGACCATTCATTGTATGGTACCGATGTACTAAGCCATTTTTGACTTCGAGGCCTAGCCACTGGTATCACTTCTTTCAAATATGCCAAAAGTTTCGATCCAGCTGCTGCGATATAACGGCTATTACAAGGTATATTATAGCACGATATCTCTTTAGCAAAAATTTTGTTTGCCTGTCGAACATGAATATATTACACGAGCTAATAGAAAAAAAAATCATTCTAATCATTATTTTTATTGGATAGATCCTAATTGATTTCAAACGAACCTGAAGTTTTTCAACAAATGCTTTGATAGATTCTGCCGGTCCGCTAATAATTGAACTTTCAGGTCCCTTGTAACATTTGACGTTGATATCAGGAGGACACAAATCTTTGATATCTTCATAACCAAGTTCTATTGTGGCCATAGAATTATGAGATACTTTGGTTTGTATCAATCCTCGTGAATACGCTGCCAATATCATTTCCTCCGTAGTAAAACATCCATCTGCGTATGCACAACCAAGTTCACCAAAGGAATGTCCGATTATGTAGTCCGGTATTACGCCCACAGAAGTTAAAAGATTTACCAAACCAATCTGTTTCACAATTATGTTTCACTTTATCAGATCTTATCGAATGAATGCGAAACTCGAAAATGGCAAAATATTTGTCAAATTTACCTGAATCGCAGCAATTCCGACGAACGAGTGCAAGATATTGTCGAACATACTATTGTCTTTTTTAGTTAAAATCTCATAAATATTGAGCTTACGCGGTTTTAAAACAACGTCGCATTTCTCTATTGCTTTGGCAAATATAGGAAATCTCATTAGAGCTTGTCCTAATAAATTTTTTATTCCATTTAATCATTGCAATAATCATTATTTTTATAGATTTTAATGTTTACAAAGAAACATTGAACGAACGACAAAAATGTCCATACCCATTCCAGGCCACTGCGATCCCAATCCAGAAAAGACAAACCATATTGGCTTTTTGATATTAGAATAATTTTCAATCTCCCTTATTTTCTTATCAGATTTTCTAACGCCTGTTATCGTATATCCTCGATATAAATGACCTGATATTTCTTTAAGATGAATATCATGAAAAAGACGTATAAATTCAACGTCTACCGGTCGATTATCGATCTATGGAAAAAGATGTTGAAATTTTATTTATATGATCCTAACAAACAGTATCTTTGTTTCCTCTATTAAGAAGTTATGCGTACATCATTTAATATGGTTACTACTGCTTCTTCGGTACGTCCAGAAACAGCCACGAGCCTGGGCAAATCATCATTTGGTAAACCTTTATTGATCTTTGTTTTCGGGTTTGATTGGAGTAAAACGTGAGCATTAGCACCGCCAAAGCCGAAAGAATTAATGCCTATGTATTGGCCATCTAACGGAGTTACCTCGGTAACGACCTTAATTCGCCCTTCTGTAAAACATTTTACGTCTTTGCGTGGCTGATTAAAATTAATATTTGGCGGTATTAGACCAGACTCCATTGATATTATTGCCTATAAAATATCGAAGAAAGATATAAGAAATTCTCTCGTGTTACGCTTCAAACAATCTTTACCTTAGCAATAGAACAAACTCCACTGGCTGGTTCGGTATGACCTAAATTTCCTTTAATGGAACCAATTTTAAGAGGATTAGTTCTACCTTTAGTGAAGACCCGATCTATGGCATTCAATTCTTCAGGATCACCGACTTTCGTTCCGGTACCATGAGCTTCGATGTAATTAATAGAATTCGTTGGTATATCGCATTCTTCATAAAATTCTTTAAGAAGAGCACTCTGCATTTCGCTAGAAGGAAACGTTATTCCCTCTTTTTTATAACCATCGCAATTTGTTTTCGCATGAAATACCGTGCCATAGATTCTCTTGGCATTTTTTGCTTTTTGCAAAAATGCTATAGCGACTGATTCACTACGCGTGTAACCAGATGCATCAGCATCAAAACATTTGCAACGACCATCCTGAGACAGGACCCCTATTAAAAAGATCCATATATTGAATATTATTGTAAAATACTTTTATATGATGATTTCCGAGAAAAAAGGAAACATTTCTCAAACGAATTGACATAATCAATACCTAAACGGCTAAATTGCAGAGTTATGTATGGATGAAGGCAAAGATTTGATCCACCGACTATCGCGTAATCGCATTGTCCGATACGTATAGCCTTATAAGCGTGTTCCATCGCGTAAAGACTTGAACTGCACGCTGTGTCGACGGTATACGATGGTCCGGTTACACCCAACCAATATGAAATTTTGTTAGCCAATATACCTCTGTTGCAGCCCGTGATACCATAACCATGTATCTAAAGTTAAAGAGACGTATATTTCGTCTTATCCATTCACATAAATAATCCTATCTATCTGATCTATAATTGTTGATCATTATATTTTGCCTACATCGAGTTTGTCGTAGGACCAAATTTTCTCGGTTTCGGAGAAACATGAACCTATGAATACACCTGTCCTTGTTCCATGCATATCTTCTGGATTAATTCCAGCATCTACGATAGCTTCGTAAGCATGTTCGAGGAACATTCTGCACATAGGATCCATTGTATGGGCTTGCTTATAATTAATTCCAAAAAATGATGCATCGAATTTCTGAATGTTGTCAATTTTGCCACTCCGTCGTGGAATTTCCGGATGTTCTTATGAAATATAACAATAGAAAAGTATTAATTTTAAATTAGCTTATTCTGTTAAATAAAACAAAATCATCTACGTAAAATCGATACCTAGTTTCCAACGACGATCGTCTTCCGTGATACAATCTTTGAATTTGAAAATATTTTCTTTTAATATCTCTACATTATTGGATTCTGGAAATCTACCAGCGAATCCAGAAATAACAACTTCTTCGCCGGGTTCTGGTTTAGCATATTTGAAGAATCTGTAAGATTCTTTTGGTACTTTATACTCGCTCATGATGTTTCTCGTTTCTCTATATCAAAATAGAATATAGAAATTTGAAATGAAACTGATACTGTGACTGAAACGAATTGTATCTTCGCATTTACTGAAATTATCAGCGATGCATTTCTTTTTATAACATTGTATTTCCTTTTATCCCCACCAAGAAATACATCACATCATGTTATATGTCACGAATTTCTACTAAACTTATTCAAATGAAAATCAATTTAAAAGTGACCTTTAAATCCGCCTCTCTTTCCTCTATTTCAATTAATTGATGCGATCATATTTAATATATGTACTTGCTTCGATCGATGACCTTTTTTTATTTCTTTCTCTTTTAATATTCAAAATATTAAATTTATAGCTAAACAAGAAAAGATCAAATTAAAATAAATTTTATTATAATTAAATTGAAGAGTAAATAAATTTGTTCACGCTTTCGTTTGATTTATTATAAAATTCTATTATTTATCATCATTTATTCATAATTATAAATTCAAAGGATATAAATTGAATGATTTAAATTGTCGGCAAAGTAACAGCATTTTTCGATGATAAAAGAATGTCAAATTTCATCTGTAATATCTTAAATATTTGATAACAGAAAATTTTTAATTTAGATTTTACACCATTTATCCGGCATCATTCGCATTATAAATATCGTTATAACATGTTTATTATAATAATTATAATATTTATTATATATATATATAATAAATAGTAAATAGCAATATTATAAATTTAAAAATATTATATCGAACATAAAATATCTACATTTTTTTTCTGTTATAAAACAATTCTTAATGAATAATCGTATATACATCTATATTCAGGAGTCAAAGGTTGCCGGATATCTCATCACTTTACATAATGCATATAGATTAATTTTATTATCTATCAAACTATTTACATTTATTACATATTTTTAGATTCATTTATAAATAATACTGTATTTATTATATTATTTGAATATTAATACATTTCAAACAACTGCATTATATAAAAAATGATTGTTTATAAAATTGAATTAAAATATTACAAGAAAATTGGTAATATAAAAATTAAGGACCGAAGATTATTCAACATAATAAATGATCTTATAATAATAATAATGAACAAATATTATATTTAAATAATACATTATTAAGAAAAAAGAAATTGCATATATACAGTATTTACAAAACATAATGAATATCTTTATTATATCAATAGTGACTTACATTAAATTACATTAAATTACATTAAATTATAAAATTATAAAGTTAAGTACTTTTTATTAATGTGTAGTGTCAAAAAAATATATTATAGTTATTATATTTTATATATATATATATAATGTATATATATACACACACACAACACGCACAAATACACACATATATATATTCATAAAATTATCGCAAAATATCTTTAGTTTTCGTATATAATATTTAATTAAATAGTACAAACAATAATTATACTTTTTTTACTTTGTACTCTTTTAATACGTGTTTTGTTAACACATGCGCCTTTTGTTAACATATGCGCCTTAAATAATACCATACTCTATAGCATTTATAATATTAAATTTTTATGAAATGAAATCTATAAACAATTGACAGTAAAGAGTATTATTTAATTGGTCTTCTTTAATAAAAAGAATTTTATCTTTTCGGTATTATTTCTTCGTTACGTCAAAACTATTATATATCTTATAACGATCAGGAGAAAAAAAAATAATAATAATAATAATAAATGAACGCAAATAGTGTCTTATTTTGATAACCAAATAGTAATTAATTAATGATGAATATACAATGTAAGTAAATATGTTGTATGCTATCCAGACTTAAGATATATATGTACGAAGAATGTATGTAAAAATAATAAGTAATTATTCAATAAAAGTTCAAAAAAGAAATTTTAATGCTTAGGCACATCAGCAAAGTGCACTTTCTTCCCTTGACCATCCAAAGCTTCCATAAGACTTGAAGTAAAACTGAATTCTGAAGTACTTTCATCGTCTTGTATTCTAAAAAAAAAATAAAATAAGCAAATCATATTATAAAATAAAAAGCAAACTACTTATAAAAATATTATAATTACATACAATGTATCTAAACTTGTAATACTGCCATTTAGATCAGGTATATTGAAAGAACCTTCTATTTTCAATAACTGAAGGAAAGAATTAACAGATGCAACATAAATTCCTTTCGAATTAGTTACACCTAAATATCGTATACTTGAAAGTTCGACTAGAGTCCTTTCAGGACTTTTAGACGATAATGTATAGGCCTCTGCATCTAATTTTACTATTTCAATTGATGAAAAATGTATGATAAATAGATATGGTTTTCGATAGGCTGAAAAAATGAAATACATTATAATTTCTATGAGTATATCACAATAAATAACGATATCAAAAATATATATATTTTATTACCAAAAGCAAATGGTAAATGATTCCACGTTGGATCAATATTTCGTGTTCTGTGACCATTTTCATCAACAAACACGCCAAATTCATTGTAACAAAGCAAAAGTTCTATCGTCGAAGGCTTATACGATACATTTAATACACAAACTGGAAAAATTCCAAGTTTTGCAACACCAGATAATGCTTCTTTAACTGAACTGTCATCTTGTTCTGGAAAATCTGCATAATCGTTTTTAATTATATGATAAATATAAAATGTATTTCCGTCAATATTTTTCTATGCCTTACCTTCGACATAATAATTATTGAGATCGATTTGAAAGAATTTATTACATCCAACAATAAGACGATGTTTAGTAAATATAGCACAGCTGCAAGGTTTAGGTGTTTCGAATTCACGAATTCTAATGAAACCTTCACGATCTTCTTCGACAATCCATTTAAATAATCTATGTATTAATAAAATCGAATAGTAATAACAATAATAATAATAATGATAATAATAATAATAATAAAATTTATCATATACGATTCACAGAACGAAGCTTAAAAATTAAATATAATATTTGTAAAACATACATTATGTATGATGCAAATGCAGCACAAAGGAATAAGTCTTGTAACTGATAGAAATGACAACTTTCAGAACCCGTCAAAACAGCTTTCGTATTTATCGCTGGTCTAGAACACTCGGCTGCAAGCGAATTACTCCTTAATTGTCTCAAAGAACAATAAACCAATTGTCTATTTTCACCAGCTATCATTATAGCTATATCTAAATGAGGATGTAAGGATAGTTGATGCACTTTTTTTACACCACGAATTGTTGTAAGTATTCTCGATTTTGTACCACAATATGAAAATAATCCTTCTTCTGCGCCTAACAAAAGAACATTTTCTCCCACCAAATCTACTACACAATTTATGTCCAACTGAAAATATATATGAAACTTGTGTGAAACATGGATTCAGGATAAATTTAATAAGTATAAAAAGAATAATACCTGATGTTTTTCTAGTTTAAGTATTGTTTGATACTTTTCATTTTTTATTGTTTTAACAGATGAACATTGACTAGTAATAATTTTTAAAGCTTTCACCCAATTCTTTTTATCAGTCTGACTTAAAGCCATAATATCAAGTCTAGATGTAGGCCAACAAGTTGTTAAAGAATTGGATTCTATTCTAAAGATAAATGGTAGATCAGACTTTGCAGTTCCAATTACTTCAGCTTGCTGTATATTCTCCAGAATATTAAAACCATCTTTTTCATTTAGATTTAAACTATGCATCGGTACCATTCCAGACGAAGGTTGATGGTCATATATACATAAACGAGATTCTTCTAATCTCAAGTAATTTCTTTCCCAGCAGGATTTTGATCGTGCCGGCATTTTTACCCAGCCTTCCATTGAAATATCATTATTATTATTCTGAACATTGTGAGAACTCTATAAAACATATAATATAATATTAGATAAATCTATATCTATTTTTTTATATTAAATTATTTAATAAATTTTAATACTTAGTGAAGTATCTACCATATCAGGTTTATCTGGTTGATCTATAGATAATGTTTGAATGCTACCGCCCAAAGATGATAGACTGTCTTCACTATTCTTTAAAGTTTTACTAAATTGTTTAGTGAAATCTCCAGGAAGACCGCATGTTGCAGGAACGGATAATGAACATTTCAAATGTGTCATTATTTGACATTCGCTACAAATAGCTGCACGTTTTCCAAATTGAATAGAATCAGAGCACGCAGTGCATTTTCCAGCACGCATCGGTAATGCAACGTTAAATCTATGTGGAATATTATGGCCCATTCTCTGTGGTGACAAACGTTTGGTTAAAATGTCGTTCGTTGTTTCCATAACATGTACCATAGGCCTTTTTATATCTGGAGAAGATGGTGAAGAAGGTGCTGATGCAGATATATGCATAGCCTTATACGCTAATAACTGATCCGTTAATGACTTCACCTTCGCTCGTTCTTTGGTAAGTTGATTTTCTAATTCGCGATATCCAATAGGCATACTTGTACTGGTAGGAGGAATATTCTCCTTTTGTTTGGTACCAAGAATTTTGTCGCACATAGTTTTCTTTTTCTTACCACATTCTTCTAATTTTAATTGCAAATAATCGATTAATTTCGCTTGTTGTTGCCGAGTACTCTCTGCTTTAACTTCTCTCTCTTGATAGAATTGCCTCATTTCAGCTAAGACATTTTCCAATTCTGTGATTCTGTATCTAAGATCTTGTCCTTGATCTATGCTATTTTGTAAATCGGCCATCAGCGAATAATTCACTTCTTTTAATTCATGTAAACTTGTTAAATGTTGACTACTTTCTTCCTTAACAATTATTGCTTCTGCTTTTGCAGTTTCTAATGCACGTTGCATTTCTGAAAAGTCACATTCTAAATCACCACATTTCATACTTAAAGATTCAACCTGTTCAGTTAATTCTTGTACCAATTTTTTATATTGATCTCTTTGAGCAATTAAACTATTCCTTTCGCTCTCTATATCATTTATTTCTGTTTCTAATGTTTGAACATTGCGTTCAGCAGTCAGCTTTAAATTTTTTTCTTCATTATGTGCTGTCTGTATTTCACGTAATTTTACTTCCGCAGTTTCTAAATCCTTTTGTAATTTCATTTTATCTTGAATTAACATATTTTCTCGAGTTTCATGATCACTCGTTAATCTTTCATAATCCGTTAGTTGTTCCTCAAGCACAGTACAAGTTTCCTTCAGAAGTTCGATATTAAGTTCATAACCATTAATTTCCTGTTCTAATTTTTCTATTTTCACTTCTAACTCTATTTTATCTTCATTATGTTTCATACTAGATTGTGATAAGCGTTTATTTTCTGCATTCAGGCTATCTATACGATCTTGATATGCTCGCATTTGTTTACGTGTTGCGTCTACTTCTCTCCGTAATGCTGCACTCGTAGACTGAAGTTCTTCTATCTCACGATTAGTTTGCGTCAATGCCTGCAATTGCAAATAATAATATGATCAAAATTTGAATAAATGAATGAATGAATGAATGAATGAATGAATAAATAAATAAATAAATAAATAAATAAATGCACCCACACACACGTATATGTGTGTGTATACGATCGCGAGTGCGCGTATGCTTGTATACATGTGATTTAAAAAATTTATAGTTTTACCCTTTGCGCTGAATCTGCTTGCTGTTTATTTCTAGATGCTTCTTTTGTAATCTCTGTTAAAGATGTTTTTGCGCTATCCAATTCTTTCAATAATTTTTTTGACTTCTCTTCATCTTCTTTTGTCTTATTATTTATTCTATCTAATAACTTCTGCTTTTCTTCCTGCAATGTTTTTATTTTTCCTTCAGCCGTTTTTACTTCTCTTAATGCAATTCGTTTATCCAAATTACAATCTGACAATTCTTTTTCTTTTTTCCATAAATTCATTTGAGCCTGCCTTGCTGTTTGTCGTTCAGCAGAAACATTTTCTCTTAAGGCGTCCAGTTGCTGTTCAAACTTTTGTACTTGTTCTTGTAAATGTGTATTCTTTTCAAGCAAGTTTTCTGAAGAAATTACATTGGTGCCTGATTCCATAAATCCAGATTTTTTAAGGCTAGCATTTTCGGCTTCCAATTTAGTAACACTCTGCTCCAAGCGTTTCAATAGTTCTTCCAAATTGCCAACTTTACGTAAATGTTCCTCTAAAGTAAAACAAAAAATAAAATGAATAATGTAGATTCTTTTGTTTTAAAAATAATTAAATCATACCTTCTTTATCCAAAGAATCTTGTAGTCTTTTCTGCAAAGCAACTTTATCTTGCGTAGCTTGCTCTAAGTTTAAAGCAAGAGTTTCATTTTGTTCCAAATTCATTATAGTATCATTTAAATCAGATTTAGTTGCCTAAAAAAATAACAGGTGTAAACAATTCATGTAATATTGTAAATAAATAAAATTCATATAATAACTATAATTCACACATATGAAATAAAAGAAGATATAATTATTTAATTAATATATTATAATTTAAGTAAATTCTCACTTCCAGTTGTTTTTTAAGTTGTTCATTTTCTCCCTTCAATCTTTCAAGTTGTTCTCGCATATTAGCAAATGTTTGTTCTGATATCTGTGCATTTTCCAATTGTTTGGTTCTCTCTTGCAACTGTTTCCGTAAAGTTTCTATTTCTGTGTCTCTTACAGGTATTGTAACTTGTACCGCACGTAATTGCTCTTGACAATCTTTAAGTTCATTTTGGGCTAGTTCCAAAGCAACATGGAGCCTTGACTGACGACAATGATTAGAATCTTGTTCATTTCTTAATTTTACTTCTAATTCCGTATTTTTAGCTATTTCAAAATCTAATTTTGCACGTAATTCAGATATTTGATTATGCGAACGATTTGCTATTTCTTCTAATTTTGTTTCAACACCTTGAACGCTCTGTCGATTAAGCTCTCGGGTTTTAGCTAAAGATTCCTTGTATTGTGTCTGTTAGAAAAATTATATTATATTATACTTTCTTTCAGTCATATGTGCATAAAACACAATAAACATTTTAAAAAATATTTTTAAATTAATTTAGCTTATAACTAATTCTACAATATATATAACTAACCTGAAATAATCTAAGTTTATGTAATTCAGCATTTGCAGTTTCAAGTTCACATTCTGCTCTCTGTAATCTTGAACTCATTTCATTATTACTTGTACATAATTCTGTAATGCGTGTAGTTTGGGTTTCAATGTGTTTGTTAAGTTGCACAATTTTTTCTTTTTCTGCATTTTCCCATTTACGCTTAGCATCTTTTATAAGAGCAAGAGCTTTATTCTCTAAATCTCTCCTTTCTTGACGTTCCAATTCTAAAGAATTCATTATGATAAATTATGCACAACACAATAAAAGATCATATATCTACTGTATCACTATATTTTCAAAAATGTTTTATGATTATTTATATCATAAATAACAATAATAATAATAAATAACAATAATAATAAATAATATTTATAATTATATTTTACAAATATAATTATATAAATATGATGCAAAGATAAGTATATAATCTTCTCTTGTATTCAAAGTATTATGGCAACTTTGTAAAAGTCACAATGTTGCCATTATTCTATCTATGACTAATTCATAAATTATGTACCTAATGTCCTCTTTACTGCTGCTAATTCTGATCTTGTTGTAATTAACTCTCGTTCTAGTTTATCCCTTTCTTTATTAGAAGCTTCCAATCGTTTTACTTTTTCCTCCAATTGATGTTCTAACTGGACAATTTCTCGAACTTTATCTTGCAGTTCAAGAATCTTCTTTTGTTTTTCTTGTATTTCCTTTTTTTTATAATCTAATTGCATTTCTAATTCCATTTTTTCCTTTGAACATTTATCTGACTGCAATAATGGATGCTTAGAATATTTAAATTCAAAAAAAGGTCCTTCCGAACTGTGTTTAGATAAATGCTTAGTTTCCAATTTAGAAGATTTTTCAAAATCCATTTGATCACCTATTATATAAATATGCATAGATATACATATATATATATATATATATATATATATATATATATACATATATTTAAAGTACATAAAGCAAAAAAATCAAAATGCTGTCAGATAGATTTGAACCACACATACTATCAAAAATTACCTAAATTTCTTTTTGTTTCTACCAAATCTTCATTTTTTAAATTTACTAATTCCTGTTTCAATTTACTAGTCTCTTTATCAAATGTTTGTAACTTGCTTCTATGTATCCTCTTTTCATTTCCATTTTGTGAATTAGAAGGTGACTTAAATTTTTCATCTGTCTTATCATTGGACGCTAACATCTTTGTATTCTATGGATAGTACTTATAAACAATATCATTATCATCTACTCTAGCTATTTATAATATCTAACAAAATGTTTCTAATTCAATTGATCAAAAATATATATCCTATATATATACATATATATAATTTCTTTACTTACTATATTTTAAATACTTGTTTTAAATAATTGTTATGACAAAACCAAATGTCTTCCCCATTTGAATATTTTTTTCTTTTTCTTACAGATATCCATATGCACTGTTCATACTGTAATATGATCACTTAACAAAAAGTTAATTTTTATCATAAATAACAATGCGATATATATCACTACATTCAAATAAATAAATAGTAATCTTTTGCCGGATTGATATAATTACATAATGAACGTATCATTTATATAAGAAAACAACGATTTAATTGCATTAAATTATGATTAAAATGAAACGACCAAACGATTGCAATTCGTCATTTATAATTTCACTGCAACTTTCAACAATACACTATTCATAACGGTCGCGCTACAAACTCCATAATGTTAATATTCAAAATTATCTCTCATAGGCATTACAGTGATTCGTTTTGGTCGACACATTTCTTAATCTAAATAACCAATAGAAATGCAGATATAGGTATAACAAGACATCTTTTCATTAAACATCTTTAACAATTTTCAAATAATTCGCTCATAAAATGGCGGACAGAAGAAGTTCACTGATTGGTGAATATTTTTCTGATTAAGCTTAAGTTTGATGATTTTCGAAGTAAGATTAAATGGAAAGGTTATTATCCAATAAAAAATTCTATTATTTGAATATATTTACAAATTATAAAAGCCTTATAAATAAAGAAAACTGAAGATCATCGTAATCGAAACTAAATTAGAAAGTGTAGATATACACGTGGAGAATCATGTAAGTAGTATGTCTAAGTTGTATACAGTATGTTTCGTGCATGGAGGATCTTACAAAGTATAAATATTCTCTTTTTAACATTATAGTGAAGAAGTCTATGAAATGAAGAAAGTGTATCAAAATTAAGAGGACAGTAATTTTATAAAATATGGAATTGATTACAATAGAATTAAGACCTCGTCTTCGATCTTGTACAGTTTTTCTATTTATGCAAAAATCCATAACCTTAGATAAAGTACAAATTAAACTCTTGGAAGCAAGTATTATGTTGTCAATAGGAGAAAATGTAACATATATCACATTACCAAATATAAAAATTGTACCAACATCGTTATCTTCCTTGAGTGTAATAGATAGATGGGTGTGTTTTCGTTTACATACACAGCCATCAGATTCAGAATTTGGATCATTTCAAAGAGAATTTATTATAGATACAAAAACACAATTTAATATGTTAAAAAGTAAGAAAAAAATAATAAAAAATTCCAAATGTACGATATTATGTACATGTTGTAAGAATGTATTTTGTAACAAGCTTTATTTTCAAAGAGTTTTACCACTTCCTAGTGTCGACTTTGATCCATCTGAATGGTTCTGTAGTAAAAAAGACATAGATTTCATGTCATTATTACATCCAAATGAATTAGATCTTTTTTATGGTCCATTCTTTTCAATAATAAATAGTAATGTCTTTTATAATTACAGAAAAAATAAAAAAGATATTTTATGTAACAGATGTTTGTCAAATGTAGGAATTCAAAATAAAGATAGTTCATTTAAGATTTGGGATTGTTGCATTAATTATAAATTGGAGACTGATGAAATAATTATCGAAGAAGTATCTAATCCTCTTCATGATTTTATAACAATCATTAAAAATTTCATTAATAATAATACATTTGGTGAAATTATTCTAGAATGTTTATTAGATAAACAATCGCATTACATAGTAATTAAACCAATGGATATAAGGTTAGGTATACTTACAGAAGGAAATATAAAATGTAACGATGACAAGATTAATCTAAAAGAAACTTTTGTTACTAAAGTATTGTACAAATATGGAACAGACAAAATGATTTTACCTAAAGATTCTATTAATGCAAAGAATTATGAAGTTAGTTTATCTATGATTGAAGCTGCATTTAATTATTTATTATTATCAACAAAACGATTTCCAAAACATTATAAAACCATTGAGGATTATTATATTGGTTATATAAATATAGAATAAAGTAATTACCTGTTTTGTTTGTAAAAAAAAAATGTATATGATAATGATAAAAAAAATATATCATTTATCAAACGACTTATTTTTTTAAATTTCATGTATCATGTTATGCATGATATAGTACATACAACACATATATACATATATATATATATTTTCTTTTTTGAACAAATTAATAACATTTTATTGAATCATCGATTTACAGTTTTCTTAACTTATTTCCACTACTATGCTACTAGGCTGTATTGTACAGTATTAATTTCCTATATTCTGGCACTATATTCCAATTTTATTTAAAAGTATTACCACTGCTTTAGATATAGCAGCTCTAAAAAATTAAACATAAATTATATACTTTTATAATTTTTATTACTTTTTAAAGTGCCTATTATTTGTCAAATTAAATTTGATGCAAGAAAATATAGAAAGATAGAAAAAAGAATTTGTATAATATTAATGTATACATATAATTAAAGTGCATGTACGTAATTGTCATTTTCTCTCATAACTTTTATCGATTTACATATGTATATGTATAATTTTACAAACATCAAGAAAATTAATGTTGAAAATGCTAATAAAACTATCTCCATATCATAAAAGAGAAACATACATTTTGAATTGCTACTTTTTCTTATTGTTAACATTTTTTATGTATTTGATGCAACCAACATATATATATATATATAAGTTATAGAAAAGCTTGTGAATTATATAGTTTATACTTAAAAACTTTCATGAAAACAATGTTTTATATAAATTTTTACGAAAATAATTAATCACATGATCTTTCATAAGTATTCATTGTATTAATATTACTCTACAACTGCTGTTGTACTATTAATAGACAATGATATAAAATATAATAAATATGCAGATTTTAAGAATCATATGCATTAAAGATTATCATTTATAATACTTTTGGAAATTTAATAATCTTTGATTAATTGTTTTAATGTGAATTATTTCAATTTTAATGAATTTTCAAAACAGCAAGATATATTATTTTATCAATTATTTCAGAATGTTTAAAATTATACATATGTAACTTGAGTTATAAATGAAATCTTAATCATAAATAAGTTATAGCCTATATATTATAATTACTCTTACATTCTTCTTTAATTACGTACATTATACAGTATAAGCATTGAGTTGTATTGTATGCATCTATCACTGATAGTTCTATAAAAATAAATCTTTAAGACTAATTACAATTAATATAAATAATTTCAATTTCTTGCATCCTCTATTTTGTTTGTATAATAAAAACTTATATACCAAAATTATATGATCAATTAAAATAAGTCTTAATTATTTGTTCTAATTATATAAATTCTGGATAACATAAGTATATAATATTTTGGACATTAATGTCACTAAATAAGAATTTATTAATTGTAGTTTTCTTTAAAGAATTAGGCCACAAACATCATACTATACTGCAATACTTACATTTTCATTTTGTAATTAAGCATCATGTGCATCTACGTTGCACTTGTTTCATTGTGAAAAACATGCAATCTTTCAGATAGTGGTGCAGTATAAGCCCAACCATTGTCTTTGATCTCTTTAAACAGCTATAAAATAAAAAAGTGTACATTTTATAAATGGTATCACAAAGTAAATAACAGTTCTTCACAATATAGAAGTATTATATTTACTTTTGTCTGCCATGTTTCATTATTCTCTTTGCGTAGACGGGCTTCATCTCGTTGTTTTTGTTCAATTGCGTATTTTGCAGCTGTGGCCTTATCCATATCATTAATACGTAAACCCATTGTTACTTCTCGCCACACTTTTCGTGATTCATATTCTTCTTGCTCGCATATTGGTTTAACTAACTTTTTTTCTATTGGAAGTTCTCTTACATCAAATGTTTCAACTCGCTAAAACAATAAAAACAACATAATTATAATAAATATATATATGATTATACAAAAAAGCACATAAAATATTTTATATTTACTCCATCGACCCATTTTGCTTCCATAGCACCATTCCATTCTCCATTTATAACAAGAAATGGTTTTTTATCTGCTGGTTGAGTAACATGACAAGTAACTCTATTACGTTTCCCACCATAAAAAGGTTTTGTTAAAAATTCTACTGTTGCATGATATCCAGTTTGTGCACAACTTATAGTGGCTGTTCCTCCTAATTCTATCCAGGGAACAGTAAGAATTGATCTGCCATAACCATTTGGAAAAGTTAAAACATATTCTTCACCATGTTCTAGTACATTTACCCAACCCTTTCCAATATTATGCACTCCTATACTGAGTCCCAAAAATTTGCTTTTTGTCCAAACATGAGCAGAAAAACTTATTTTTTTTGCATAATGTTCTGCATAAAAAGCACTCACTACAACATATACATGTAAATATTTTTAAATAAAAAAAAAAAAAAAAAAGATAAACAAGAAAAAAGAAAAAAAATAGGTAACTATAAATTATTATAAATCATACAATGTATATACCTGGAGGATGATGGGAGACTTGTTCAGCGATGAATGATAGTTGATTTTCTTTACACCATGGAACCGGTCCCTCTATTACATTCTTTGTATCAATATTTACATCATCTGTACAATTTTCATTAACAAGATTCCAATGACATCGGAAAATTTCACCTAATATAGGATTGTATGGTTTCTTAGCTACACCAGATCTACGACCAGCATGAAAACTGCATAAATACCAGCGTACTACTTGTACCATTCTTTCTCTAGGTGTAGGCATATCTGCAATGCTATAATTTATATGTGTATACATTAATATTACTTTATTTTATAAATATTTTTATAATATTATTTTTCAGACAAATCATATTTACCTTACAAATTGATCAGGATGAGTAAAATAATCTGCATACATTTCAAGAAGCGATCTACGTTCCAAAATAAAGGTAGGCAATGCAACTTTTGTTAAATCCATACCAATTTTTACTTGTGACAGAAGATGTGTCACAACTGATCCATGGCTTTCCATGGAATCCACTAAAATGAAAGATAATAATTTAAATTTAAAAAAGTGTTAACTGTTAAATATACGTTTTAAAATTTGAAGATACTAACTTTCTGTGTCGCTCTCTTCCTCGTACAAGGCTGTAGATACACACATTTTATCATAAAAAAAAAAAATAATAACACGATTGTAATATTTATACATTAATAGATATTTTCTTATTATTTTGAAAATAAGTCAACGATCAGATTTGTATTTTTTAATATTTATTATCAACTTAACCTTGCATTTTGAAAGATAAATGCATAACTTACTATTTATATCTATGTTCAACATATTGTTTTTGTAGAATATACCAACTAGTATCCATTCCTAAAAACTCTCACTTCTGTCAAAATCAGCTATGGTTGATGCAAAATACTTTGTTGTACAATAATTTGATCATATATTGAACAAACATCAACAAAACTTTCATATAACTCTGTATGATAGTTCGTTATCATGTTTTGTAATATTCCAATATAGATTCAATTGTTCTTTCTAAAATTAATTATTAAATTTCTCAAAGAAAATTGACTATCCACACAACACAGTGCTTCACATATTATGTGACATACTATCTAATCAATAATCACAACGATCGGTAAAGTCAATTTCGATAAATCTGTGTTATCGACATTTAAAACACATTCTAGAGGACAGCATATTCATTACAAATTTAATAAGAGTTTTGGAAAAAAGAAATCTTTACTATCCTACTTCTTTAATTTTTACAATATATAAGAAAAATTAATAATAAAATATTTTAATAAAAATATAAATAAAAAAATATAAATAAAAAAATATAAATTGTATATATATATAAAATATATACATACAACAAATGAAAAAAAAAATTTATAACTTATCATTTTGTTATACGATTAAAGTGCTTTACAGCTATTCTAAATACCATTTTATTTCTTTTTATTATATTGTAGGGAGATAAATAATAATTAATAAGTACTTACCATCATAGTCTACAGAACCATCTCCCTTTACAGGTGGTAATGGAGATTGTTTACGCATATCTCCAGCAATTTCTCCAATTGATTGAAAACGATCACTTTCACGTCGTCTACTACACAGTGTGTTAATGCAGTATAATATTAAATAATGTATATACATATCCTCATATTAATTTATTAATATAATGTTAATGTTTGTAAATATTCGTTAATATTTCATCCAATTAAATTTATCACCAATCTTGGATAAAAATATGAAATAAATATACTTACAGTGTGATATGATTTTGTGCTGTCAGGGGAGGTGACAATTCATCAGCAGCATCATAATAATCTTCATCTTCATCCGACGAGGAATATGAAAACTGAGGTACTGGGAGATCTCTATTATCTACAACTAAAACATAATAAAGTACATTTAATAATTTCCATAAATCTAATAATTTAATATTTTTTATCGTAAATAAATTAGAATATCAACCATTAGATAAATTAGGTATTCTTGATTCTGTACATTCTGAACCCAACTCAATACCAGTTTGCACTGTTGATTCTGGTTCTGTAACTGCAACTATAAATATTTCATAAATCAATATTCGAAAAACCACAATAGATTTATATAAAAATAATCACATAAATACCATGATTTATAGGTGGTGTAGCATTCATTGTATCAGTAGAAGGTCCTCTATATATACCATTAACAGGTATAGCTGTGTTCTAGAATCATTCACAAGAGAATAATAAGTTTGATTAAAAAGAATGAAGTATATAATATCTATAATACCTTTGCAATTTGTAATTGAACAATGGTATGCTTAACAGAATTCAGCATTGCATTTGCTTGTGTCAAAACTGCTGCATAACTTTCTTGCTTTTCTTCACTTTCTGTCTCTATACTTTCCTGTTTTGTTTCAATTAATTTTATTTGATCAATTAACAGTTGGAGATAAGCATCTGCTTCTGCCACTTTACGATTGAAATCTTGTTTGGGTGGTGATTTTTTTGGATCCCATCGCTAAATTCCATAAATTCCATAATTTTTCTACATATCTGTATGAAATAATATATTATAAAAAAAAAAATAAAATGATGTGTTTGTAGTCATACCGCATGCGAGTGACGCAGTATTGTATCTTCTAGAGCACGGACCCAACGTTCACGTTCCTCACCATTGCGCGTTTGGAAATGAAAAGTTTTTGGATCATCTTTGTATGATGATGTAGTTATTGTAAATGTACTATCATCTTCATCATCAATACCTATAATTGCACCTCTTAATCGTACACATCCTCTACGAGCACCACGCATCATTTTCTCTTTACTCTAAAAAATAAAATATGTTTATATTTCAGTCTTGTCAATGCTTCTTATTTAGATATAACTAAGAATTATTGAATGACATTTATATTTACTAAAAACTAAGAATCATATTAATTATTTATTAAAAATACATTTCTAATATAAAAATAAATTATTATTCTTAATTATACAAATTTTGATTTTCTTAAATTTTTCGATTTATGTGATATGCAAAATAAAGCAATTTAATAAAATCTTAATTAAATTAATTATAAAAGCCGCGAATTTGTGACGAAAAGTGTAACCTGTAAAGAATGTTAGTATATTTCATAGATTTTATGTAAATTTTCAACGATACTCACAGTATAATATGATAATAAGCCAGCATTGTCATCTAAAACAAACCACCGATATTGCCATCCATTAACAACATTTGTCCATTTACTAAGCGAACCTTCCATCGTCGACATTATTTGTTGCGCTCTTGCTGATTATGACTGTGTTAGAATTTATATAAAAATCAGAGTGGAAACTTACAAATATAAACCTTGGAATCAAGTTCTAATCTATAACGAACAATTTCATTCGCAACACATATCAGGCTCGATCGAATATATACACACACATGTATTTACATGTGTACAATCCAATGAGAACAATCCAACCTAACAAATATAAAATAATTTCAAATATCAAATTGCATTTTTTAAATATTTATTGTGGCCCCTCTTTCTTTTTGCACTTATACAAATCGTAGATATGAAAATAATTTTACTAAAATGTATTTAAATTATTAAAATCATTGAAAAAAATATATACAAATCCACCTATTATTTCATTGAATAATATTCAACTATATTCTTTTGTAAAGATCGTAATTTTCTTTTCACGTTGATAATAATGCATTTAAAGTCCATATTATTTTGAACAGATTTATAGATAATTTTTTGTAGTATGTAATGAGTCGCCATCTATAGAATACATACACAAAGAAAAAACTTGGTGAACTGGCATTTGCCTATTCAGTCAATGATGCGTGTTATTTCAAATAAAGAAAAAATAATGTAGTATAGAATTATTTACTTTATTTCGAAGCATTAGCCAGTTCATGCAGAAAATATTGTTTTATTCATTTAAATTATTTAAAGATTAATTCAATCATTTAAATAAATCATTATGAGTTCAGAATTAATACTAGACATACGATCGAATTCATAAAATTTGACAACTATCAAATTACGCGACATTAATTTAAAAAATAGAATAGAAAATTTAAGATACAAGACTGCGGCAAAAGTTAATTTATCCAAGGAGTCATTTGGTAAGAAAATTAATTCATTTTTATTTTAGAGAATTTATTTTTCTAACCTATCTTTATCATTGAATTTCATACCTTTCAAAAGTTTATTATTTAATAACGTGTTATTAAACAGAGCTTATATATTGTGGATGTATCCTAGAAGATGAACTTTAGAAGCTTGTGGACTTAAAAGTAGTGCAATGGTGTATTTTTTAATGAAAAAGGAAGTAGAACCTCCAGTACCAATAAAGTATATATCATAAGTATCCTACAGTTGGCTTCTACGTTCAAATCTTTTATTGAAAATCTTGCATTTAGAAATGCTTTACATGTAATTATCAATGATACAATATACTTTTAATTAAATATATAAGAAAGTAAAGTAAAGACTCTTGTATAATGTATTTCAGCGTTTAAGTAAAAGACCAGAAGTTATAGATAATATCATTTCATCATCTCCTGGATTATATGAAGACTCTGTTGCAATTGCTATGTTACAAGATCCTGATCTAATGGGTCATTTTATAGATATAGATACTATTAAAAAATAAAATTTTTATCAACATATCTATACATTTATCAATAAATCTTTATTAATATATTAGATTGCATAATGTTAGTATTTTTATTATTAAATTATTTAACTGTATTACAGAATTGCAGAGTTACATCCAGTATTTGTAAAAGATGCACAAAATTTAGTTGCTGCTGTACATGAAGAAGCTCATAACAATGATACTGCTGGTACTAATTCCTCCACGTTGAATACACCATCTACTACATACTCTTACAGTTTAGATAATTCGAGCGATTTTATTTGCATTGAAATATATTGCAATATATTGAATCTAAATCTAAATTATATAACGCAAGTACTATCGGATGAATGGCTCCATATTTCAATGCATTTCCAAAAACTTTTGGATCTAATTCTTAATAAATATTGATGTACTTATGTTTTACATTAATCATACTTCACACATTTATCATACTTCAATAAATAAATAAATTAAATATAGTAGAATTGTAAAATAATTTCTTAGAGAAACGCATTGAAAAATTCTATTTGTCATAATAAATAGAATATATAGCAGTATAAATAGCTATCTATATGAGTAATCAATTAGAAACAAAACATAAAGTTTGTGCAATTAACAAACACTGCAATTAATTTATTTTCAGAGAAGTATAATCTGGTATATGATTTTTTCTTGCTTTTGTCAGATTCATTGCTATTTTTGCTACATGCAAGAATTTTTGTGATACACTAACTCGATTGTTAGATTACGCGTGAAAAGTCTATTATTTATATAAGCTTATATACCGATAGAACAAGCGCATAGTGGGAAAACAATGTTGCCCTATTGTGCTTGTAGTTTGTTTTATCCATTTGTGCGAAATCATAAATTGGAATGTAAAATATTAGATCATTATTTTCATGTATTAGTATGAAATTTCTTAATAGTTTTCTATCATACCTTATCATTCTGTAGGAAACCAGAACCATATGTGCGGTCCCAATCAACATAGACTGCCAGATCTAATTGAGAAACACTAGGACGTACATTTTGTAGAGCTTCTTTAAAATCATCAAATGTTACCGATCTAATTTCTTCAGTTTGTATATTTTCTAGTTGACTAAATGGAATACTTCTAATAGGTCCCATACTAGCTTCCTTACATAAATTAGTCATATCAGCACCTGAATAACCTTCTGCTTGTCGAGCAATATCAATAATATTTTGCTCTGTAATATTATTTGGTACCGATGTTAACAAATTATTTACAATTTGTCTTCGTGCTTCCAACTCTGGTAAAGGAATGTAGAGTCTTTTAACAAGACGACGACGTGCTGCTTCATCTAATTCTTGCGGTCTATTTGTTGCACCTATTATTAAAATGCGATCATCTTCAGAAGTTGCTGCACCGTCTAGTTGTACTAAAAATTCGGTTTTAAGTCTTCTTGAACTTTCATGCTCTGTCTCTGATCTTTGACTAAGTAATGAGTCTATTTCATCTATGAAAATAACTGAAGGTTGATGTACTCTAGCTACAGCAAATAATGCTCTAACCATTTTTTCTCCTTCACCTATCCACTTTGAAGTTAAAGAGCTTGCTGATATAGAAAAAAATGTTGATTTACTTTGTACTGCAATGCATCTTCCAATCAATGTTTTACCCGTACCAGGTGGTCCAAATAATAAAATTCCTTTTGGTGGTCTACGTAAGCCAGTAAAAATATCAGGTCTTAACATAGGAAATACAATTACTTCTTTAATAATTTTTTTAGCATATTCAAGTCCTGCGATATCATCCCAAGAAACTGATGTTCGTAAATCCATAATTTCATTTTTAACTAGCTCTATCATTTTTGGATCAATATTTTTCAACCTCTCATCTTCTACTTCTGTCGAATTACTTTCATTTTCTGTTGTGTTACCTTGGCAATGCATTACTTTTTCTTTCTCACGTTTAAACGGACACACAAATCGAGAATTAATAGAAGATTTACCACCTAATGTCTTCTTCTGTGCTGGCCTATTCCTTAAACTTTGTTGAGCACTTAATTCATCTCTAGCAGTTTTAAATGAATAACCTGGAGTTCCTAAGTTCTGAAATTCTTCTTTATTAATCTAAAGAAAAAATTTAATAATTTTACTAAATTTTTATTAATTGTAAACACATTATATTTTAGCACACAACAAATTTATAACTTACTTCTACACGACTGTTTTTGTCATCATAATATCGTGCAGATGATGAAGCAACATTTATTTCATTTTTCTGGAAATTCTTATTTATAAGAGAAAATTTATCATCATTTGCCTGAATTGTTTCATACATTGGCCGTGTTTGTACATTACATTTCCTTCTTCTTGTATCCTGTGTCTTCCACATATCAACAATATCTTGAATATAACCATCATTAATAATTCTTTCTTTGCATGATGAAGTATTCTCATCTTGACATGGCAAACATTTTACGAAATCAACTGCTGTTTTTACATCGTTTAATCCTGATTTCCATTGTAATGGATCATTATCACTTTCAGCAATTTTCATTTCAACTAAATTCCAATAATTCCCGCTCTTTTCTATCTGTTGTTGATATTCTTCTAGGCCTTTTTCGAGCAAACATGTTGCTACATCCTCAAAGCCTCTGTAATTCAATAATATTTCAACTAATGTGACAAATTAAAGAATAAAAAAATAAAGACTCGAAGAAAATAAACTCACGATCTTTTTGCTGTTAAATATTTCACAGCAAGACAACGTCGTTCAATGTCCAGTATTTTATGTTGATTTTGATTAAGTTTTGAAAATTTTAATTCTTGATAAGCTGCCAAAAAATTATTATATTCTTTGGTAATGTCCTTTGTATTACAAAAAGACATGATTTTGTAACGTTGTTTTTAAATTGCTTCTTATTTCTTAGTTTTTATTTGTAAATTAAATTTAAGAATTGGACGAACGACGATATCACGTGACCTTGAATTCTATTCGACTACTGTTGAGACTTCTAGCGGCGAAACATACAAACTAATTTTATTTTTGTCATAAAATGTGATTTTCAAGCATTTTCGAAAACAAAATTTAAAAATTGTGTGTACAATTTGATTTTAAAAGAATAACAATAATAATAATATACATAATAATAATATACGACAATTTAGAAATGCAGAAACAGTAAAACGATAACAAAATTGAGTTAATACGCTATACGTAAAAGAAGCTTGTAGAATTGTTTTATTTATGCACTATCGAAACATTTATTTATTAGTTTAAAGGGTTATAAACTTGTACAACTTTTTTTTAATAAATAACGTACTTATACGATAAAAAGTTGTTTTTGACATTAATATTTTATTACAAAATATTACCGAGATATAAAAAATATAATATATATAATAAAAAAATGCATCGATTACGTTTATTTCAAGTGTCCGTATTCATTAAAAAAGTTTTGTTACTTAGATTTATTATAAATTCATCATCTGATTCATCTATAATTAGATTTTCTGTATTAGGTGTTTCTTCATAAGACACATCATTTTCAATAAAATTATTGGATCGTTTGGAATACTTTGAATGCTTGCATGTAAATATTGCACCTAAATTTATAACTGAATATGCATTACACTTTAAGAATTTTTCAGTAGTCTCTCTTAAGGTTTCATATGCTGATATTACTTCTCGTGAATAGT